GGACTGGATGGGGGGGAAAAAGAGGTGCTGGGGTGGAAAAAGAGGCGCCAGGGTGGTATCAGACTGGACACACATCAAAGCAGGCACGTCTCGTGCCAACTGTGAGGGGCTTGACCATCCTGGTCCCCAGACCTCTCCCGGAGAGACAGGGGACCTTGCTGTGTGCTGTCCCTGCCGGGTTTGCACTGCTGCCTTGGAGACAGAAGGCTGCAAAGTCCAGCCCTGACCACCTCTCCCAGCTCACCAGGCGCTTTGCAGCCCTGGCAATTCTCGCAGGATATAAACCGCGCCAGAGGGAAGTGCCGGGGCAGGTGAATAAAGGTGTTCCCACGAATTAATAGGAGGAAAAAAGAAAAACATGTGCCAATTGGGACTCGCCCCTGGAGCGGCACATTGTCTCTGGCCGGCTCACTGCACATTCAGAGCAGGGGTTCCCTTTGAAGGCTGATTTCAATCCACTCCTGGGAGGTGTCACCTGTTGGCACCGTGCCTTCCCCAGCTCCCCGATGAGGTTTTTGTCTCGCTGAATGCTGGCGACAATAAGGGTCACTGGAGCAGGCAGCTGGGCGAAGGCACGGGCTGAGCCGCGTTTCCCAAAAAAAAAAACCCCCGGCATGCTGCGAGGGGAGGAGGGGAAGGCAGGCAGTAAACAAGCTGCCGTGAGCCGGGCGAGCGGGGACGTTTCTTCCCTGCCGGCAAAACAGCCTGCCGTGAGCCGGGCGAGCGGGGACGTTTCTTCCCTGCCGGCTTCCCGGCTCTTCTCCGCTGGCTTGTAAACATGTTGTGCGGGGCATGGGGCTGCCACCAAGCTCCCCCCGGGGCTGGGAGCGACATCGTCCCACCCCCGCCACCAAACCCTTGCCCACGCTGGGGGTCTTTCCCAGGCAGGGGTTTGCTAGCCGGTGTGCATTTATTGGATGGAGAGGAGATGTTTGCTGCCTCTGCCCCTTGCTTCCCTTGGGGTTGGTTCGGAGCTCAGAAGGTGGAAAGGATTGCTGCTCGGACGGGGTGAGGGTCGCCCCAGACCACAGGGGCTTCCACCCATACATGCCCTGGGCTTGTTTGCAGCCATCTCCGGTGGCCAGTGTTTCTGGGAAATTTGCAGGTAGCAAGAAACTTTCCAAGAATTTGGAGCTGTCGGTGTCTGGATTAACCAAACCCTCTCTGCGAACCTAGGGAAAAGGGCTGGGCATGGCTTTACGTGGCCCCCGGCTTGACAGCTCCCCTTCATGGGAGCTATTTTGGCTCTCTCCGGGCCCGATTACATCTCAGCACCAGCTCCTGCCTCCGCTTGCTTCAGCTGAGCTGTTCAGATTCAGGTGACCACGGCTGAACTTGGCCTGAATACGGGATCCTGAGCTAATTTCTACTGGTAAACCACGGCATTCGCTTCTATGTTTAAACCTTTGCACTACAGGTGGGGCGCAGGTAGAGGGGGAAGGCAGTTTCTGTTGTCATGGTCAGTAGCTTTGCCTTGCCCAAGCCATTCGAGGAGGTGAAAATCACCTGAATTTCACCTGAGCCTGGACAGCCTCAGGGGATCAACACGCATTTGTGCCTGCTGCAGGGTGCTGGTAAAGAAGGTTGTCCCTGGAGGGAGGGTGGGGACTGGGCTCTTGAGATGGGCCATAAATCAAGGCAAGGCCTTAGCCAAGCACTTCCACCTCCTCCTGGCCGAGGATCCGGCTCTCCCTGGCTGCTTTCCCCCCAAGACTGTGTCTTCGTGATGGCCAGGAGAGTCCAGCTTCTGGAGGAATAGCAATTTTGGTGCCATCCCCCCAAAGTTGGTGTGGGGCAGCCCATGATCCCATCAGCCCATGATCCCATCACCCCAAGGCAGGCGTGTGGGTGGCGTGTGGTCAGCCTGGTACCCGTGTGTGTGTGTGCAGGCATCTGGGTACAGGCATCTCCCACCCTTTGGGTCTGGGCTGGGAGATGCGGGGGGCTGAGCGGGAGCCGGGGTGCAAAAATACCGGGCAATGCCTGCAGTTTGGTGGGTGCCCCTTTGCCACCCGGGCGCTCCTGCACCCATGGCGGGGTGGGGGATTACTCCTCGCTTGTGTGATGGAGACCGACCCTGCGCCCCGCAGTGAGGGTCTCCGCTACAAATACAGGTCCTGGACCCCGTTACCTGCTCCGAGGGGCAATGCGGGGCGTTGAGCGGACGCTGCCTGTTCCCCTGGGCCCAGGGCTTGGGGGGATGGATGGTGGGGGAGCGCCAGTTCCTCCCGCTCCTCCCCGCTGCCCTGT